GAAGTATTTTCTTGTGGTAAAAAAAACAAGTTAGATGATAAACTGATAACAGACAAATTATTATAGCACGTTTATTATTATTTAATATATTTTTTCTATTGACAAGAAGTTTTTTACTGGAAACACTTCATCTTAGTGATAAAACATTTACAAGAAATACTATCTGTAATGATATTGTTACGACAGCGGAAGTCACGTGACACTGGTAATACGTAATGAGTATCTCGAAGGATCGGGGAACATCACGAATAATCCAGTATATGCTAGACGCCCTCTATTCCTGTATATAAGCGCGCCAGATAAAGCGAGACAATTTAATCGGAAATGGATAATTGTGGACAGGCAGAGATAGAGACGGACAATTTACCGTAAGTAAAGTGCGTGAATCGTTGTGAATTATAGCGTGTGGTTTAAGTGACTGTGGAAATTAAGTGTATTGCAAATTTGTATTGAGAACGAATAAACTAGTTTTATTTACGAAAGGACTTGTATCGCTGAAGTTTTTCGGAAATAATTTCTACGGAAAATTAACCAACGACCAGAGACGTAACAATATAAAAGGTTGCGTTAAAAGTCCGTAACTATTCTGCTTGCAATTTACGGAGGAGGATAAGAATAACTTTCATTCAAGGTAGCTTGATGAATAGTTAAATTCATTTATTATTCAGCAGCTGGGCATATACGGTATAGTCACTGTTTGAATAAAATGGAAATAAAAATTAATTAATGACGTTTATTAGTCATTGAATCAATATTTTATATACAGTCGTCATGTTGGAATCATCTGCCCCCGATTAATTACAGGTGTACTATATATTTTACAAGTCCAGATTCATGACTTTGTAAGATTATCTGTAATAAGACAACTTACCGCTGATTTAATTCTGATATTCTGTTTCTTGAATTCAGATTTCTGTTTTTCAAGCACTGTTTCTTCTGGTGAACTTTCTAGTTAGCCTGTCTGTCACGATCTTTGTTGAATCGACTGTAGTGCATGTAACGTAATGTACACATTCGTGTCAAGTAATCTATCTGACGACATCTTGTGTGTTTCTCTTGAAAACCAACACTGTTTATGTAATGTTCCACTATTACGATCATCATCATTCATGTTAGCATTAAACACCTTATTAGATTACTCGTACGTGGCTTTGGGTTAGCTACTTACCATATGACACAGTTACAGTGAACTAATCAGACGATCAGATAAGTAGTGACTGAACATGGTCAAAAGTTGATGGCCTAAATCAAGTTACACTGGATGGGAAGTCATAACACTTATTTGTTTCTACTTCCTCAAGTAAGTAGTTTTCAATGGATGAATAATTAATACCATAATAAATGTTACCTCAACCTAACTCAGGTAAGATAAGTAATTAGACTAATAACTAGGCCTAATGTCGATAACTGTATTTGCATAGAAAATAATAATAATAATTGTGGCAACTAAGCAGTTGTCAAGTCTGACAACAAAATCGCGTTAACGGCTCATACTGATCAGTTAAGCTTCTTGATGAACTTTTGACCCTATTTTATGAAATAATGTTTAGGCTGCAATAGGCCTAACCATGTATTAACAACACTATGCTTAGACTACGATATATGTAGGTCTGGCTATGTGTGTTAAGAAACATTAGGCCTAGCCATTTATTAACAACACTATGCTTAGACTACGATATATGTAGGCCTGGCTACGTGCGTTAAGAAACATTAGGCCTAGCCATGTATTAACAACACTATGCTTAGACTACGATATATGTAGGCCTAGACAGTAGACGTTTTTAAGGATAACAATCAAGCAAATTCTTTCACTTTGGGCCATATTTTCGAAAGTTGTGAAAATATTATTTAACTTCATTCTTACGTACCGTTGCTGTCTCTTAATTTAATTATAAATTTTGATCTGGTAAAAATATATGAAATCTTGAATATAAACGAGCTAAGTAGTTAAAATTAAGCATGTTTAGATTCAATAGATTTTAACTATTATTAATAGACTGTAAGTGAAAAAAATTAAAATGGAAATTTTACACACCTCTAATTT